GGGGAGGAGGAGGAGGAGGAGGAGGAGGAAAAGGAGGAGGAGGAGGAGGAGGAGGAAAAGGAGGGGGAGGAGGAAAAGGAGGAGGAGGATTGTTGTAAGCCTAAAGAGGCAGAACAAAACCGCGGCGCTCAACTAAGCGCGGGCCAACGTGCTCTGGCCAACGGCCAAAGTGGCCAAACGGCCAACGCCCACGGCACACGCGCAAACAGAGGGAATCACGGACACGAGTTGGGACCTGACCTCTGGCTTCCTTTCCCTGACTAGCTCCCAATAGCGCCAGAAACGCTGTACCTCAGGGAGGACATCAAAACAAAAAGAGCAAGCCAACGACCGCCCTACACCCCGCGCCAAATTGGCGCATGGGGGTTCGGGATCGGCGCCCAAGGGGCAATGCACGGAACGTTGCCCAGCGCCCGCGCCCCCGCGAACACGACGACAACATGCTCGCGGCAAAGAGCACTGCAACCAAGAAACTGCAGGCGGGAAGCCGCGGGCCCCACCTCCGTGATCGTCAACGGCGGTACACCTCAGACCAGGAGGTGCCGCTGGGGTCTCCCCGCGCCCGGGCCGCGCCTCTTGGCCGAAAGGGCAGAGCACTAAAAGCCCTGGCCTGACAGCTGCAACGGCGACAGCGGAGGCAGCAAGGCGGGGAGGGGGGGGGGGAAAGGCCACTCTCCGGCCCAGGAGCGAAAACGACGTCCACCCCGGAATGCCCAAAGAGGAAAAGGGCGACGGATACGACGACGAAACGAAACACGAATGATGACAACGAACGACCACGAACCTCCCAGAGGGAAGTACCACCCTCCGCCCGCAACATCATCGGACCGTGACATCATCGGACCCACACCGCATTCACGCGGTGCCACATGGAGCCCAGGCTGCACCGCTTATCCTCGGTGGCGAGGCATTTGAAACTTGCTTCGGCCTGACGGCAAGGAGGAGGAGGAGGAGCAGGAGGACAAAGAGGAAGAAAAGAGAGAGAGGGAGCAGGGGGACACGGAACGAGAAGCAGCGAGAGACAACGCGGAGGACGAGTGGGAGAAGAGGATGGAGGCGGAGGAACGAGGGGGGCGGTGGGACGACGGAGGAGGAGGTGGAGAGGAACGAGAGAAACGCGGAGGCCTGCGTGGCGTGGTTGTGCCAGTACGGACGCCCTTGTGGCGGCCGTATCAGCTCCCAGTCCTGCGGCTGCGCATCGGGGAGGCGCCGCGGGGCCGCTGGTAACGCGGGCGCGCGCACTGCGCGTCCGCCCGCCGCCGTCGCGGTCGCGAAGGTCGTCATCGGGTCTGCTCCCTCCTCCCTCCTCCCTCCTCCCCTCCTCCTCCTCCTCCTCCTCCTCCTCCTCCTCCCTTTCCCCTCGTCCTCTCGGGTCGCCGGTGATGGGGGGGTCAAAGAAATTGGTCAAATGGGGGGTCTGTGCACGTATCCCAAACGGAGCAATCGGAAACGGAGGCCCTGCTCGCAGTGTGTGCGACGCTCGGTATGCCCGCAGAAAGCACGAGGCGCAACTGCTGATGTCGCCAGAGATTTGCGGTCTGCGCTACGCACGAACGCCACCTGGTCAGACATTTGGATGCGCGAAACTTGCTGGCGGCCAGAAGTGGCAACGCATGCCAGTGTCCCAAAAATGCCCCTAAACTGCCCCCAGTGGGTCAAACAGTGGCTAGGAAGTGTCCTCAAAGGGGCACAATGCTGCATTGCACGGAACTAACGATACCGAAAGCGTGCATCCACTTTCTGCTGCGCGCAGCAGCCGCGCGCGCGGCCCTCGTACCGCCGCGTAACCCCTCGGGTCGGGGCTGGTCAGAGAAGAGCTCTCTGACATAGAACTCACCGCGGCGCAGCAAAAGGCGGGCCCAATGGCGGCGCCGAGGATTAACAAAAAGGTGCAGTGCAACACAGGACCCCTTAAGTGTCCAAAAAGGGTGTTTTCTTGACCCCCCATTTGCGTGACCCCCCCATCACCGGCGACCCGATCCTCCCCGAGATCCAGGCGTCTCAGCTTTTTGGCACTGGGCGTGTGCGCTTGCTGTCACGCCCCGAAACCATCACAGATCGATCAGGCTCGATCACAAGGGGTTATGAGGGGAGGGGGGAAGGTTTTCTAGAAGGCGGCCGCTTCTTAGAAGGCGCTGGCTCTACATCTAGAGACAAGGCCCGCGCCTTGTACGAAGCAGGGGTGTATCTAGAAAGCTTTCCCCCCCTACCACCCTCCCTCTACGCGTGGCAAAAAATATGCCGAAGAAAGAGGGGGGTCTGGTCGTGATTGTCTGCGATGTTGTATCTTTGTTCGCCACCTCGGGTCTCAGGGATGAGGGCAGGAACGCGCCTTGCCCCAACCGCGCCCTGTACGGCCTCCGACTGGTATCTTATGTTGCATCCTCGGGGGACCTTGTCTGTCCCGTCTCGGCCTCCGCGTCGAATCCGTGTCGTCCATGTCGGACTCGTCGGATCCGTGTCGAAACCGAAGCGAATCCGCGTCGAATCCATGCCAAATCCGCGTCAAATCCTCATCGAGCCCGCGTCGGGCACAAGAAAATACACCAATGTTGAGGTCAGACGAGGTCCCCCCAAGATGCGACGTAAAATGTCGTCCTTCTTCCACGGGGGAAACGGGTTCGGAGGGAAACGGGCCCTGGACCCTGGGGCCTTCCCCAAGACGAGATCTTCATCCCGCGTCGTTGTGTGACACTCCCGGGGCCTGTGGGGGATCCCGAGAGACCGAAAACGGAGAAACACCTAATGGCGACCCCCTCCCCCCTAAGACCCGTTTCCCCATTGGCGACCCCTCCTCCCTAAGACAAGGCTCCATGGCCCGTTTCCCCCATGGCGACCCCCCCCTCCCCCCTCCTGACCCGTTTCCCGCATGGTGACCCCCCCTCCCTAAGACTACGTCAGGACGAGGATCAAATCGAGTGATGACAAATAGAGAGCCTCTGGGATCCAGCGGCTCTGGAGGATGTCTCGGGCGCCGCGGCCTTCTCAGCGCGATCCGGGACGCCCTAAGAGCGTTACGGAACGCTCCAGAACGGATGTTGTTCCTCGTCCCGCCGACTCCCTCGCCGCTTGCGTCGCCGTCGACGTCGCCGTCGTTGTCCAGGTCCTCGCCCTCGTCCTCGTCGTCCTAGTCGTCGTCGTCGTCGCCGTCGTCGACCTCGTCGTCCTCGTCGTCCTCGTCCTCATCGTCGTCGTCGTCGTCGTCGTCCCCAGGCGACCCCCTTCGATGGGTCCTCGTTCACCCGGACGCGGTCGATCAGCGGCGCATCGGCCTCCCGGGGCCCAGAACCGCCGCCACCCAGCAGGCCCCCGAGGTAGCTCGCGGCGGCGCCTCTTGCGGGGGGGGCAGGCCGTCTGCGCTATATATCGTCGCTGGCAGCGGTCGCGTCGTCGCCGCCGCCGTCGTCGTCGTCGTCCTCGTCGTCATCGTTGTCGTCGTCGGCGCCGCCGTCGCCGCCGACGTCGTCGTCGTCGGCGTCATCGCCGTTGTCGTCGTCGTCTGCGCTAGGCCTCGAGGGCAAAGCCAAGAGAGGGGTCGAGGGTTACGGGGCCCGCGCATATCGGAAGCAAAGAGATAGTGGGACTGGCTCGTCGTCTTGTTCGCAGACTCCTTCCTCTCTCCCCCTCGCCACCCTCCTGTTCTCTCCAACCCCCTCCTCCCTCCTTCCTCCTCCTCCTCCTCCGTCCTTCCTGTTTCCTCACGTCATCCATCTCTCTTCCTTGCGAATACCCCCTCCTGGCACCACCAGGCGTGTCGGCAGGACAGGACGTGCTGAGGGAGAGACTTCATCACGACTGCAGATATCATTAAACTTGCGATCTCCAGCTTTTGCAAGAAAAGAGAACGTGTCGCTTTCCAAATACGTCTCGCCTCGGCGCCGCGCACACACGTGATATCTGAAAGCTTGCAGTCGTTGGGCGATTCGGGGGCGGGTGGTTCTCGGGATGTGCCTCTCGCCTCACCGTCATGTCCTCCAGAGGTAATTTCTTGGCATTGGAGAACATTGAGTCATGATGACGAGCTGGTTTCGAAGTTACCCTCTACCGGCCCCTGCCTGGAGGTTCGGAGGAATCCTACAAGCCCTTTGGGCTAAGTTGGTCTAGCGAGTTCTTTCTTGCCTCTACCCAAACCCTTTCTTTTCTGGGAGATGTACACCTGCCCCCCCCCCGCTTCCCTGAGGCTTTGTTTGAGGGGTCGCGATTGGTCAGGGCGCCCAAGCTGGCCCAAGACGGCTCCAAGAGGGCGTCCGATGCTCCAACATGGCCTCCAAGGCGGCTCAAGAGGGCCGACGATGGTTCAAGATAGCTTTTCCTACACACGTCCCAAAAACCCAACAAAAGCTACAAAACACACAACGGTTCCAAGTACTCTCGAAGCCCCAACAGGAGACCCTTAGACACCCAACTCCTTCATACACCTAAGGAACATCAATGATTGTTGACTTCGTGCCTTTTCGCACCCGATGCGCTCTTGAGGCCTCAAGATGGCCCCAAGAAAGCCCAAGAGTCCCAAGATGGGCCCCAAGAGGCCCCCCAGACGAACCCAAGAGCGCCCAAGAGTGGCCCAAGAGCGCCCCAAGAGGGCTCCAAGAGGCAACGCTGCTGGACCCAGGGGTCGAGGCAAATTGCCCCCTCCCCCCTCTCCCCCTTGACCTCCAAGATGGCCCCCAAAGGCCCTCCAGGGCTCCAAAGGGGCCCCAAGAGAGTCCGGAGAGGGCCCAGAAAGGGCGCCAAGACCGCCCAAAAGAGTCCCAATAGGACCCCAAGACCCCCCAAATCAGCCCACAAGAGGACTCCAAGATGGAATCTTGAGGGCTCTGTCTTTGACTTCGTTGCCCTCCCCCTCCTCCTGCTCCTCCTCCTCCTCCTCCTGCTCCTCCTGCTCCTCCTTCTCCTCCTGAAACAAAGGGGCCCCAAGGGAAATTGGTCCACAAGTTCGGACCGGGAAAGCTCGGGGACTTCTGAAACCCGGCGGTTCTTCTCCTCCTCCTTCTCCTCTTCCTCCTCCTCCTTCTCCTCACCCTCCCCCTGCTCCTCCTCCTTCTCCTCCTCCTCATCCTGCTCCTCCTCCTCCTTCTCCTCACCCTCCCCCTCCTCCTCCTCCTCCCCCTCCTCCTCCTCCTCCTCCTCCTCCGCCTCACCACCATCATCATCATCATCATCATCATCATCATCATCATCAGCATCATCATCATCACCATCATCATCACCATCATCATCATCAGCATCATCAGCATCATCGTCATCATCATCACCATCATCATCATCCTCATCCTCAACATCACCATCACCATCACCATCACCATCACCATCATCATCATCATCATCATCATCATCATCATCATCAGCATCATCATCATCACCACCGTCACGATCATCATCATCACCATCATCGTCATCATCACCATCATCATTTTCATCATCATAATCATAATCATAATCATAATCATAATCATCATCATCATCATCATCATCAGCATCATCATCATCATCATCCTTGTTTGACATGAGGGCTCCTGGGGGCGGGCATCGCGACCGCTCACCACCTAGCCGAACAAAAACACACAGCTCGTTCAATCCTCCACCCTCGCGCTGGAGGATGCGACGAGCTGCCTGCAGCGGGCGGGCGTGGTGAGTTGGCCCGCCCGCGCGGGCGAGCGCGGCCCCGAGGCCGAACACTGGACCCGAAAAGCACTAATCCGAGCCACTCCGCCTCCTCCGCAAGGGCAGAGGAGCGGAGGGGGGGGGTCGGGGCAACGGTCGAAGTGGACTGGCTGAGACCATGTCTCGCGTCGCCTGCCTGGCGGAAGCCCTCGGCCCGTATTCCAGGGCTGGCTGCGCGTCACCGGCACCGCCAGGCAGGACGACAGAAAGAGAGTTCCCCGTGCCCCGCCCACCTCGCGAAGAAAAGGGGCGGTCCCCCTGCGCAACTGTCGCCGCAGAGGGAGCATTACCTCCAGCGCTCCACGGTCGTGCAGCAGGGGGACGCCAAACGGCGCGCAGTAGTGGCAAGGACGGCCACTGGGACCCCAAGTTCGACCCACTGCGAGCGTCAGGCTACCGCGTCGTGCAAGGGGTGGGGACTGGGCCACGGTCGAGGTGGACTGGCTAAACTGATCCACCCCCGTGCCGAGCCCACCCGCAAAGAGGGGTGCCCCCCCTGTGCCACCGTTTCCGCAGAGGGAGCATTACCTCCAGCGCTCCACGGTCGTGCAACAGGGGGACGCCGAACGGCGCGCAGTAGTGGCAAGGACGGCCTCTGGGACCCCAGGTCGAACCAACTGCGAGCGCCAGGCAATCGCGGCAAAGACATATGGGAATGGGAGTCGGGGCGACGGTCGGGATGGACTGGCTGCGACCAAGCCCCAGCGCTACCTCCGTGGAGGTGCCGCTTTCGGCAGCCAGCGCTACCTCCTTGGAGGTGCCGCCTTTGGCCCGATACACTCATCTGCCTGGCGTAACCCCTCGGCCCGAGTTCCAGGGCTGGCTGCGCGTCGCCAGCACCGCCGAGCAAGACGTCAAAAACGAGAGAGACCTCCGCGCCCGGTCCAACCCTCTTGGAAGGGCGGCCCCCCTGTGCAACCGTCGCCGCATGGGGGGGGGTCCTTCCTCCGGCGCCCCGCGGCCGTGCAACGGGGTGACGCCGACAAATAAAGATAATTCAGGTAAATTATTCATAATACATCACGTAACTGGAGAACAACATACTTTTCATAACAATATTATAACATGTTGCAGGTTTGTCCCTTGCGTGGGTTCCGACGAGTCCCTAGCCTTCCCCCCGAACTGACCTTCCGTCCCGAGACGCCCTCTCGGTCGGCCCCAGGGCTCAAGAGCCGGCCCCCACGAAAGCCGAGCACCGCAGCAGAGGAGGGAAACCCTGAACCTTACACCGACGAGGGGGGCAATCTGGGTCTGGGCTCGGTCGCGGCCCGAGCACTCGAGGGGGATATCCCCAACCGACCCTGGGGAAGCCCACGCCCCTCGTCGGAGGGCGCGTGGAGACCTCGGCACAGCTCACAGTCCGTCCCCGAAGCCCTCCACCGCAGCAGTTCTTCCACCGCTTATCCGACCCCTCTCCCCAACGGGCGCGGCCTGGCCCCCACTGGCCGATCTACCTCCCAGATGGGGATATGGGCCGTTTCTTTCGGTTCGCGAAAGGTACACATCCGAACCACAAGGACAGAAGAACATACATCAAGGACATGGGACCCTCCGGCGGCCAAACTGAGGAACATTCGAGGGTGTCCCCCCCCCAGGACGCACAAGAACATCCCACAAACACGACGGACACATTATAGGGCACCCTCCCCGAACCGACCTCGATCTGAATTACACCTCGGTCCGCCTGTATGCCCAACTTGGGGTGTGAGATGTTGGGGTCTGGATGGGGATGGGGAATAAAAGAAACAAATACATACACATAAACTTTTGGCGCTCCGCGCGGATTTCTTAAATCCGGGCTGGACCCCCCTCCCTGGCGCGCGGAGTGCGCCAAGGGCGGCGCCGGAGGCGCCGCCGGGGGGGCCCAGGCGATCCGAGAAATCCGCGCGGAGCGCCCCCCCCAAAAAAATATGAATGTGGTTTGTTTTCCTCTTTCGGCGGTGGACAACCTCCCTTTAGTAAACCTCCCCTTAGTGAAAACGGCCTGAAACCGAAACCGACGGACCTGGACCCGCAAAAATGACGGCCGCAACGCTCTCTCGCGGGCCGAAAACGGCCAATTCGCTAATCGACATGTCAGGGTAGGAGGTCTATCAACCTCCGACTCTTCGACTAAATGGGGATGGGGATGTTGAGCAGGGACCGACGGTCCCGGCATTCCTATAGTCCTAACACGAAATGTTCTCAGAACCCCAAACTGTTTGAATAACATAAATCAATGTGCTTAGAACATGAGCCCGATGCGCCAAAACAAGAGAATCCCAAACAGACACGATCCAAGAACGTCCCGTGGAAGCCACAAACGGCACTTCGAACATGGTCTGGTAGGGCTAGAGGCGAGCCAGGACGCTTCGCCACTGCTTGGGGATGGGGATGGGATGGGGATGGGGATGGGAGGAGGAGGAGGAGGAGGAGGAGGAGGAGGAGGAGGAGGAGGAGGAGGAGGAGGAGGCGGAGGAGGAGGAGGAGGAGGAGGAGGCGGAGTTAGGCGTTGCCCTAATCGAACGGGGCGCGGCGCCCCCCCACCGCGGCCGCGCGCCCCGCCAGGGCGACCCCGCGCGTCCGCCGCGCGATAAGCGGACCGCCTCGCCCGCAGGGCCTGCCCCCAACGGGGCTGCAGCGGGACTGCCGACGCCAGGCCACGGGCCGTGGCCCGAGGCCACGTGG